CTCCTGGACCATGCAAGCTCCTAGACCAGGCAAGCTCCTGGACCAGTCAAGCTCCTGGACCAGGCAAGCTCCTGGACCAGGAAAGGTCCTGGACCAGGCAAGCCCCTAGACGAGGCAAGCTCCTGGACCAGGCAAGCTCCTGGACCAGGCAAGCTCCAAGATCAGGCAAGCTTCTGGACCAAGCAAGCTCCTGGTCCAGGCAAGCTCCTGGTCCAGGCAAGCTCCTGGACCAGGCAAGCTCCTGGACCAGGCAAGCTCCTGGACCATGAGAGCTCCTGGACCAGGCAAGCTCCTGGACCAGGCAAGCTCCTAGACCAGGCGAGCTCCTGGACCATGAGAGCTCCTGGACCAGGCAAGCTCCTGGACCAGGCAAGCTCTTGGACCAGGCACGCTCTTGGACCAGGCAAGCTCCTGGACTAGGTAAGCTCGTGGACCAGGCAAGCTCGTGGACCAGGCACGCTCCTAGACCAGGCACGCTCCTGGACTAGGCACAATCCTGGACCAGGCAAGCTCCTGGACCAGGCAAGCTCCAAGACCAGGCAAGCTCCTGGACCAGGCGAGCTCCTGGACCACGCAAGCTCCTAGACAAGGCAAGCTCCTGGACGAGGCAGGCTCCTGGACCAGGCATGCTCTTCGACCAGGCAAGCTCCTGGACCAGTCAAGCTCCTGGACCAGGCAAGCTCCTGGACCAGGAAAGGTCCTGGAATAGGCAAGCTCCTAGACGAGGCAAGCTCCTGGACGAGGCAAGCTCCTGGACTAGGCAAGCTCCAAGACCAGGCAAGCTCCAGGACCAGGCAAGCTCCTGGACGAGGCAAGCTCCTCGACCAGGCAAGCTCCTGGACCAGGCAAGCTCCTGGACCATGCGAGCTCTTGGACCAGGCAAGCTCCTGGACCAGGCAAGCTCTTGAACCAGGCACGCTCTTGGACCACGCAAGCTCCTGGACTAGGCAAGCTCGTGGACCAGGCAAGCTCGTGGACCAGGCACGCTCCTAGACGAGGCACGCTCCTGGACTAGGCACAATCCTGGACCAGGCAAGCTCCTGGACCAGGCAAGCTCCTGGACGAGGCAAGCTCCTGGACCAGGCAAGCTCCTGGACCAGGCAAGCTCGTGGACTAGGCACGCTCCTGGACCAGGCACGCTCCTGGACAACGCACAATCCTGGACCAGGCAAGCTCCTGGACCAGGCAAGCTTCTGGACCAGGCAAGCTCTTGCTACTCTGATAACATGTCAAGAATAGAACTAGGAATGAATGATTGAACTAGGCAAGAGGTGAGTACAAGTAGGGGAAACCTAACCCTAAAGTGTTGTACTCACTAAGGAGTGACCCTACTGTAGCCTAGAGATACAATTGTAATCTAACACACTGTTTGGGATATGGTAACTCCCAAAAAGCGGCGGCCAGTCAGGGCAAAAAATGTATTTTACCCTGATATTTTGGGGCCTGGCGCTGACGCAACATCTGGGATGAACCCTGGGAGATCCTGACGAAGTAACTTTTATCATTTTACCCCTTTTCCCTCACTCTCTTTTGGAGGCTTAAAGCCGTTGGCCCAAATTGCACAAGTTTAAAAAAGTTGACAAGATGGGTTTTAGCTGGTTTGGGTGTTGGCGAGTGTTTCTGATTTCGTGAGAATCGTTTTTTTCGTCAAACCCAGCCAGCCCCTCGTTTCTACACTGGTGGGTGTGTCAGACCTCAAAAGTCCCAAATTGCAGCTGCGCTACTTTTCAAAGCTTGCACAACCCACTTCGTCAAGTTTTAAAATCTTGACACGCGCGATCCGCAATTTGGGCCGCGGGTTTTAATATATGGTTGTAAAGGCAATTTCTTAAAGCTGCGGTCTACATACTAAAAGGGGGTTTTGGGGGGTAATCTAGGTGCACACCCTTTGGTGCGCGATGACTTGAGAGCGAAGTGTGGTTTTCCCCCAAACACCTGTGCGATGAGTTCGCACAAAGTTGGCGATGTGAAACAATTTCGCGATTGGGTTTTCTTGGGGGAACAAATCCGCGGAAAGGCGGAAATTTCAGCGCCAAACACAAACAACCAAGCGGAAAGTTTTGCGCCCACCCCGCTCCCTCCTTCCGCCTAGATCGTTCGTTTCTTCTGGAGAGTCTGCCACCCTGTTTTCAAGTGATAAACCAGGGCCTGATCGCAGCTTTAAAACCAGGGTGCACATTCAACGCGGTTCGGCTTGAGATGTTGGGAAGGGGGTTTGGAGAAAAACAGTGATTGGCTCACGAGGGGCGACAAAAAAATGATTCCGCTAGAGCTTCGGGCATTTCGTAGGTGGCGGGAGGGGGTGAAATGGCGGGAGTGGGTGAAACCGAATGGCGGGAGGGATGAAACAGATTGGCGGGAGGGGGGGGAAACGAAATTGCGGGGGAGGGGGGAAACGAAATTGCGGGGGAGGGGGGAAACAAAATTGCGGGGGAGGGGGGAAACGAATTTCGACGGGGAGGGGGAAATGAAATTGCGGGGGCGTGGGGAAACGAAATTGCGGGGGAGGGGGGAAACGAATTTCGACTTGAAGGGGTTGAAAGCACACCTCGTAACCCACTCAGTCAAGGGATAACCTTTGATGCACATTCAGCTGAATGTGCACCCCGGTTTTAATATATCATAAGAATGCGATCCGTTAGTAATTGTTTGGGAGCCTGTGTGCCGCGAACTTTCTGGTCAACGAAACCGGCGGCTCGTGCCAGATTGTGGCGGGAAACACCTGTCTGCTGCTTCGCGGGTTGATGACTTCTCATACCAAGGCCCTCAGGTTAGGCGTAGCGAGACAACTGGTAGGGGTCTGCCGTGGCGAGTACGGAGTGGCTGAGGGAGTGGGTGCGAGCAAATGGTGATGGTTGGTTGGGTGGCAGCTAGGACCGCGACTTAATTACGCAACGGTTGTTGTTTTGAGATTGTCTTAATCTCGTCGACCACCCTCGCACCGTGTTCCCCGCATTACTGAAACCTTAATCCGTTCGACCGGCCGTGTTCCTACACCCGCGATCACTGTCTGGTGACTCTGCGTATAGTGTTTCTTGGGTTTAGGTACCTGCTTTTCCTTGTTTTTGGGTGTACATGCACAGAATCATGGATCCATTTTGACGCCAAGTGGCACACACGAATATGCTAGAATATAGATGCCATGTGTCAACGAATAAGAAACGGTTTGAGTCGAGCTGACGTCAACCGCGGAGATATTTTATAATGCAGCATGCATTAGTGCTGCAACATTTTGTTGTTTGTCATTTGCTGCAACGTGCCAAATCGCAAAGCATGTGGTCCTTGACTGCATGGATGAGACAAATTACAAGACCACTAGGCTCGCGTATCGGACTATATAACTATTAAGTTCTATGGAGTCACGTAAGCTTTCTTATTGATAGCCATTTTTTGGGTTAGTTTTCATTTACAGGGTGGCAGTGGGGTAGATTATAAGACTTGATGCTTATTTAGAAATGCCCATAATCCGTACAGCACAAGTGACGGCAAAAAAAAAATGGTTGGAATGTAGTCCCCATAAAAGAAACAAAAAGCGAACCAGTTATTGACAATATAAGGTAAAGCAGGCCTGGTTTGGGAATGTAACTTCCAAGAAACCAAAACCGTATATATATTATACTCATATCGCGCAAGGGTTTATAGGGTCGATCGAATTAAGGTCGTTTATAATGCGGGGAACGCGGTGAGAGGGTGGTCCACGGGATTGTGACAATCTCGAAACAAGTCACATCGCGCAATTAATTCTAGGACCGCGCTGATGACATGACGATGACATGCTTCAACGGCGTAACCAATCCGGGAGAGAATTGCTCCAGAACCTTGTTTGGTGATTCGGTCTTGCCCACGTGGCCTCGAATTGCTCGCGTGGCCATCCAATTCAGTGATAATTGCTCAAGTGGCTACGCCAGGGGATTTCCCCACTTTGTTTTCTCCGAAATTTTACCCTCCCAAGAATTTAGCCCTGAAATTCCCAAAACGAACGTGTGTATATTACTGGTCAAGGGCGGTAGTGCATATGACCGGTCATTTTCTCGTGTGTAATATGATTGGCGAGATCATATAGTAATTTGAGTTTCATTTGCGCGGTCAAATATGGCCGCAATCCTTATGATGGCACCTGATTGGACACGCAAGGCCAACAATTGCACCGCGCATATTATTGACGAATCATTCGCGATCGTTAGGGCTGTTGCGGTTTGATGCTCGTCAATTGAAGTTTATGATCACGGATTTATATGCTCGAGCGTTTATTTGTTACAAATTTGTTTGACCGAGCGCTCATTGGTCGCGCATTTGGCCGAAATTGAGCGCGCATCTACTGTTGGTCGTGATTATTTGTCGGTTTGTTGTACAGTGAGTGTGCCACGTTCGCGCCCGCCACCCTGGTGAAATTTTCGGGTGGGGAATATTACGTCCCGCTTCCGCGGGATGAGACGAGCACGTGAGAGGAATTTCGGGGCTAAATTCCTGGTAGGGTAATGTGCCGGGGAAAAATAAAGGTGGGGAAATCCCCTGGCGTGGCCACTCGAGCAATTATCACTGAATTGGATGGCCACGCGAGCAATTCGAGGCCACGTCGGCAAGACCGAATCACCAAACAGGGTTCTGGAGAAATTCTCTCTCAATCCGGCTCGCCTGATGTTTCAGGGTTTTTGTCGCCCAGTCACCTCACCGAGGGCGTGTTTATCCGAGGCTCAAAGTCTTCCTTTTGGACGAGATGATCATCGCAGCTGCTTCGAATCGAAATGTGACCCGAAAAATCGTAGTGTAACTTGGAAGGGGGTATGGAAGCGCGCCCCCCGCTTCCAATCGCGGGCACGCCCCGGACGCGGAGTCCTGTGGTTGGGAGCTGTGAACTGTGTGAACTATATCTATTAGCTGCTGCTCCACTCCTCTTGTGTGTTCCTATCTAGCAACAGTCGGCAAAGCGATGTACGACGAGCGATGACCGCGCGCCTCTGCAGACTCGTGGCGTCATAATCTCGTGGCATCATGAGCTCATGACGCGTAGGAATGGGCGAGTAGAAAAGTCCGACCCAGCAGGCATGGCGTCCGCGTCCAATGCGCCGGACGCCAAGGACGGCTACAGCGGGGGTGCTGCTCTCCCTGCTGTTTCCTCCACCTCATTCAACTCTGTTAGCTCTATGGACAGCAGCCTCGCGGAAGCACAGTCGCACCGCCAACCCCGAGACGCCATGACAGGTGAGACTTGCCCCGCTCGCTGTTTCTCTCTCTCTTCTTACCGAGTAGCGCCGTCTCGTCTCGTCTCGTCTCGTCTCGTATCGTCTCGACTCATCTGGGGTAAGAAGTTAGTCGATCTGCGTCAGACCACACTGGCGCTTCGCCTTGTCGCGGCACGCTGCGGATCGAGCCTGACCGAGTGCGACTGCGCTAAAGCCTCGTGAGAGCGCGAGCGACTCTCGTCGGAACGTCTGTGCCTCGGTGCGTGCGTTTGTGTTTGTTCGTGCCGATCGGGAAGTAGTGATTACCGCGGTGATGCTGGTCTTTCCTTCCAGGAGCGGACCACCAGCTATGCTTCACCAATCACGCTCTTCATGCCCTCTTCTCGGTCCGTTACGCCATCTTTCTACTCACCTCACGGTCAGGTTCTACGCGCTTTTCGCGAAAGCTTAAGCGCGGATGAACGAACAAAATTTAAAGCCTTTTATCGCGTCGACACAGAGAGAACGGGGTGGCTTAGAGGAAGGGAGAGGTGTCGCGTTTGCTAAACCTTTTTCATGCGGGGATTTGCCTTGGCCGTGAAGAGCCCTACTGGCGGGTGGGTGTGAACTACCAAACGCACTCCAGAGCGGGGTATAGTAACAAGCGCTCAACTAATAAGGAAAATTGTCGGATACACGACTGCAGGTGGGATTAGCGAAGCTGGGGCTATTGCAGTTACTGCAGCTGGGATTTCTGTGCATCTTCCGCTGATTCAACGCCGCTTTTCGCGGCGGCGAGTGGGTCGGCTGTTGTACGAATCAACGCTATGGCAGCGCACCCGTCTCCACGCCACCGCTGCCTTCCGCCTCCATTTCAAAGAGAATGAACTAGCTTATTGCCGTTTGAGTCCCGTCCACTCAACCGCTTCTTTTCCATTCCCCCCCCCCACACACATCCCCAACATGAACCCCTCGCCCTCCCTTTCCCTTCCCGCTCCCTCCTCCCCCATCTTCCCTCCACCCTTCCGGTGCCGAACAATCGCGGTGCTTCCAGCGGCGGGGTGGGAGCGGGAGCGGGAGCGGGAGCGGGGGGGCGGCGGGTCGTCGGCGGGGAGAGCGCACGTGGAGCAGGCGATGCAGCTGCGGGACGCGATCGAGAAGAAGGTCGCGCGCAAAGAGGCCGCGCTCAAGGTCAGTCGCGCGCAAAGAGGCCGCGCTCAAGGTCAGTCGCGCGGCAGGCGCACGGGCAATGGGGGAAGGGAGGAGGGAAGGAGAGGGGGAAGGGACGGGGAGGGAAGGGGAATGGGGGGGAGGAAGGGGAGAGGAGGGGGAAGGGGAGGGGGGAAGCGGGGGGAGGGGAGTCGCATGGTTGTGATGGGTGTGAAAGGTGAGAGGGGGAGAGGGTTGTGGCGAAGATGTGAGTGGCATAGGCGGAGCGGACGAGAGAATGGTGTGGAGCATGCTGTGTTGTGCGGTGCTGTATGGTGCTGTGCGGCGCTGTGCTCTGCACAGTGTCCACTCGAGTGCGTTCAAAGCTGCAAAGGAGGGTATCCAGTGCTGCGTCGCTGCTCTCTCGCCCCTCGAGTCATCCCTTGTCGTGCGCCCCTCGAGTCATCCCTTGCCGTGCGCCCCTCGCGCTTCCCCAGAAAAGCACCGTCAACTCAACACCACTGCTGCCACTGCCATCTCTACTCTTCCCATTCCAGTACCATCTTCCATCCACATCCCCTTCCGCATCCCTCTTCCCTTTCCCATCCTTCCCCCCTCCCGTCTTCCCCCTACCGGCTGCCGCCTCTTCCGCCAAGTCTCACCCGCCCTCCGCGCTCCGCCTCAAACCCTCCCCCTTCCGCCTCATTCCCCCCTCTCCCCCTCCCCCCCTCCGCGCAGGAGTGCATGCGCGAGCTGCGGCGGGTGCGCGAGGAGCAGGCGCGGCGCATCCAGGAGGCGATCGCGGAGAAGACGCGCGAGTGGGAGGCGCAGTACGGGGAGCTGGAGGCGCGGCTCAAGGGCATGGACGAGCAACTGGCGGAAGCGAGCGCGGAGATGGATGCGATGCAGGTGGTGCTGGAAGATAGGCAGATTCTCATTAGTGATCTAGAACGGGAGATGCAGCGGTTGAAAGATGTCGCGGATGAGGCGGAGGCGGAGAAGCGGAGGCTGGGGGGTAGGGTTAAGGAGTTGGAGGGGAGAGGGGGAGCGGGGGTGGGGGGAGAGGGGGATGGCGGTGCGGAGGTGCGCGGGTTGAGGGAGGAGGTTGAGATGTGGAGGAGGAGGTGGGAGGAGAGGGAGGTGGAGGGGAGGCGGATGGAGGAGAGAGTGAGGAGGTTGGGGGAGGAGGAGCGGGCGCGGGAGGGGGAGGTGAGAGCGGCGGAGGAGGAGGCGGAGGGGTGGAGGAAGAGGTGGGAGGAGGCGGAGGGGGAGTTGAAGGCGGAGAGGAGGCGCGCGGAGGAGGCGGGCGCGGAGAGGGATGAGCGGGACGCGACGCTGCGGGTGATGCGCGGACAGGTGGAGCAGTGGAAGCGGCGGTATGAGGAGACGGAGGAGAGCGCGGGGGAGCTGCGGGAGAAGCTGCGGCGGATGGAGGCGGAGATAGAGGAGCGGAGGGCGCAGGCGGCGGAGGAGGAGCGCGCACAGGCGGAGAGGCGGGAAAGCGTGAGGCGGGAGGGGGAAGTGGAGGAGGAGGCGCGGAGAGGGGAGGCGGAGAAGGAGTTGGCGCGGCTGGGGGAGAGGTGCGCGGATCTTGACGAGATGGTGAGGCGCGCGGAGGGGGAGCGGGAGGAGGCGCGGAAGGAGGTTGTGCGCGCCAAGGGGGAGCGGGACGGGATGGCGGACGTGCGGGATAGGATGGTGGCGGAGTGGGAGAGCATGCGAGTGGAGCTGCAGCGCGCGCAGGAGGAGGGGGGGAAGCTGCGGGAGGAGGTGGAGAGGGCGGAAGAGGGGAGGCGGAAGGTGGAGGAGCAGATGGAGGCAGCTGTGCGGGAGAGGGAGAGAGTGAGGGCGGAAGTGAGTGGGGAGAGAGGCGAGGAGGAGGAGCGGTTGAGAGCGGTGATGGAAGAGCGGGACGAGTTAAGGGAGGAGGTGCAGCAGCTGAAAGAGGAGTGGGATGCGATGAGGGTGGAGCGAGAGAGTGCGGGGAAAGAGAGGGAGGAGGTGCGGGAGAGATTGAGGAGAATGGAGGCGGAGGAAAGGGAGAGGGTGCAGGGGGAGAAGGAAGAGAGGGAGAAGCTTGAGGAGGAGGTTGCGAGGGTGAGAGAGGAGTGGGAGCGAGTGAGGGAGGAGAGAGACGGGCTCCGAGACGAGGTGGAGGGACTGATGCGAGTGAGGGACAGAGATGATGGGGAGAAAGAGGGAGTGAGGGAGGTGAAGGAAGTGCTGAACAGGGAGAGGCAGGAATGGGAAGGCGAGCGTGCGCAATGGAAGAGCAAGGCGGAGGAGTGGGAGCGGGAGAACGAGAAGTGGGCGGAGGAGAGGCGTGCGTTGGAGGAGGAGGTGGAGAGAGTGAATGGGGAGTTGGGACGAGCGCAGGAGGAGAGGGAGCGGTGGAGGGAGGCGGTGGAGCAGGGGGAGGAGGAGAAGGCGCACTTGACGCGTATGGTGGCTGCGCTGCAGGAGGGGGAGAGTGAGGTGGCGCGGTCTGTGCGCAGGGACACTCAGAGAGACGCGCAGAGGGAGGTGGATGCTGCGAGAGAGGAGGTGAGGCGGCTGGAGGCGGAGTGTGAGAGAGTGAGGGAGGAGTGTGAGAGAGTGAGGGGGGAGAGGGAGAGGATGAGGGCGGAGAAGGAGGCGGCAGAAATAGCAATGGAGGGGGAGAGAGGGGAGTGGGAGGGGGTGAGGGAGGAGAGGGACGAGGCGAGGAGGGAGAGGGATACTCTTGTGGAGGAGAGGGAGGCGTGGCGGAAGGAGGGAGAGGCGGTGAGGGAGGAGCGCGATGATGCTGTGCGGGGCAGGGAAATGCTTCTGGCACGAGTGGCTGAACTTGAGGAGGATAGTGGGAGGGCCGCGAGGGGTGTGGAGGAGGAGAGGGAGCGAGCGGTGAGGGAGAGAGATCGAGCGGTGGAGGAGAGGGGGAAGGCGGAGGGGGAGAAGGAGAGGGTGTTGGAAGAGTTGGTGGTGCTGAGGGAAGAGTGTGGGAGACTGAGTGAGGAGAGTGAGCGGATGCATGAGGAGAAGGAGAGGTGGCAGAGGGAGAGCGAGCGAGTGAGGGAGGAGTGTGAGCGGCTGAGAGGGGAGATTGATGGCGTGAAGGAAGAGCTGGATAGGCTGGGAGAGGAGTGTGAGAGGCTGCGAGAAGAGAGTGAGAGAGTGAGGGAGGAGAATGAGCAAGTGAGGGAGGAGAACGAGCGAGCGAGGGAGGAGAACGAGCGAGTGAGGGAGGATAACGAGGAGGTTAAGGTTGGGATGGCGAAGGTGAGGGAAGAGAGTGAGAGAGTGAAGGAGGAGAGGGATAGGCTGAAGGAGGAGTGCGAAGCAGCGAGGAACGAGAGGGAGTGGGCAAGGGAGGAGCGGGATCAGGTGAAGACACTCATGTCAGGGCTGGAGAAGAAGCAGCAGCAGCAGGAGGAGGAGAGCGAGGCGGAGGAGGGTGAGGCGCGAGAGGCAGTGCAGCGCGTGCGGGAGGAGCGGGACGCACTCAAGGGCGAGCTGGAGCGCGTGCGGGAGGAGTGGGAGGTGATGCGCGAGGAGCGCGAGGGCATGCAGGAGGAGCGCGACGTGAGCGTGAAGAACGCGGCGAGGCTAATGGACGAGCTGGAGGCCGTGCAGCGCCGCGTGGCCCACACGCAGGAACAGCTCTCGGCTGTCTCCGCCACTGTTGCTCGCCTGCAGGGCGAGCTGGCGGTTGCTGAGGAGGAGCGGCGCAAGGCGGAGCGACAGGCGGAGGAGGAGCGGGAAGGGAGGGCGGAGGTGGAGAGGGAGTTGCAGCGCGTGTGTGAGGAGAAGGTGAGGGTAGAGGAGGAGGTGATGGGGGCGATGAGGCGGGTGAGTGATGCGGAGGAGTTGGCGGCGCAGCACAAGGCGACTGCGGAGGTGGCTGCTGCTCTTGCGGAAGAGGCGGCTGCGAGAGCAGCGGAGCTGGAAGAGGTGATCAATGGGGGGGGAGTGGGTGGGGGGAGAGGGGAGAGTAGTGGCCGCGGGGAGGATGGGCGGGACGGGCGGGATGGGAGCGAGAGAGGAAGGGATGGAGGAGAGGGGGGAGGAGGAGGCGGTGGAGGTGGTGGAGAGAGGGCACGGCAGGAGGCGGAGCAGCGGGCGGAGCAGCGGGAGCAGGAGCGGGAGGAGGAGGCGCAGGAGCTGGAGTGGGCGCTGCAGGAGGCGAGGGAGCGCATAGCACAGCTGCAGGGGGACCTGGAGCAGGCGCGTGCTGAGAACGAGGCTGTGGATGCTGAGCTGGCAGCCGTGGAGGACATGGTGCTCCAGCTCACCGACAGCCTGGCGGATAAGGAGCGGTTCCGCGCTGAGCTGGAGGCGGCGAATGTGCGCGTGGTGCAGGTGGAGGGTGACGTGGCGAGCTGGAGGGAGAGAGCGATGGGGCTGGAGAGAGAGCTGGAGGAGGAGAGGAGGAGAGCGAGAGAGAGAGAGGAGGGAGGAGGAGGTGGATCGGGCGCTAAGAGTGGCCGGTCGCAGCGGGAAGTCGAGGCTGAGCTGGCGGCAGCGCAGGCCAGGCTGGCAAGCATGGGCGGCGAGCTGGACACGTGGCGCGAAACAACAGCCTCACTAAACGCCAGCCTGGCAGAAGCCCAGCGGCGGATCGAGGAGCTGGTGGCGGTGGAGGCAGAAGCGGGCGAGCTGAGCCAACAACTAGCGGAGGCGCGGGAGAGAATAGGTGAGCTGGACGAGGCGGTGGCGGCGGTGGAGAGAGAGAAGCAGCAGGTGGAGGAGGACATGAGCCAGACGCGCACCGCATTCACTGAGGTGGCTGCTAAGGTGATGCACACCATGCAGCATAATGAAGAGCTGAAGCTGGAGTTAGCTGCGATTAAGGCGCACGGGGGAGCGGGAGGGAAGGGGAGGTTGATTGAGGGTGGGGGTGGGGAAGGGGATGGAGATGGGGAAGGGGGTCAGGCGCTGGCGCTGGTTTCGAGGCAGGGTGGTGGGTCGCTGGGGGAGCGGCAGAGCAGCAGTGGCAGCCGCGGCAGCGGCACCGGTGGCACCAGAGCTGGTGCGAAGACTGCTGCTGGTGGTGGTGGTGGTGGCAGTGGGGTTGGAGAGAGGAGCTCTGGCGAGGTGGAAGCACTGGAGAAGCAGGTGGAGGAACTGAGAGCAGCAGCGAGAGAGATGGAGGCGGCAGCAGCAGGCGCGAGCAGCTGGGCGCGCGAGGTGGAAGCTCGTCTGGTAGAGGAGAGCGCAGCGCGGGAGGCAGCAGAGGCGGAGGCGGCGCGTGCCAAGGCGGAAGTGGGGCTGGTGAAGATGCGGTTAGCAGCAGCAGTGGAGCGAGCGAGCGTGCTGGAGGGGTGCTTACTGGAGACGGAGCATAGAGTGTCGGATGTGAGGAGGAACATCATCTCTGCGCATCACCGCAAGATGGCTGCGGATATGGAGCAAGCACTCTCCGCTGCTGCCAGTGTTGGGGTTGGCTCTAGTGGTGCTGGTGGTGCCAGGGGCGCTGGCTCGAATCTGCTGGCGCTGCCTGCTCCGCCTGCCTCCTCTGCCCCGACCGCTGCTGTAGGAGCAGTGGCAGGCGGGGGCGCAGGCGAGTCGCCGTCCGTTGTATCTGCACCGGCTGTGGCTGTCTCCCCGGGGGGTGGTGGCTCTTCCATGCATGCTGCTGGTGCCGCCGCATCAGTACCGGCAGCACCAGCGGCGTCCCTGTCCTCCTGCTCTTCCGATGCCAACACTCCCCGTGATGAGCCGCTACCAGCGCCAACACCATCCTCATCAGCACTCTCAGCAGCAACAGCAGCGCCGGGCCTGGGAACCATGGTCCCATCATCAGCAGCAGCCTCGGCAGCAGCAGCAGCAGCAGCAGCAGCCGGAGCAGCGGGGGTGGCAGAAGCAGCAGCGGCAGCAGGAGTGGCGGCAGTGGATGTGGCGAGTATAAACGGGCGGCTGATGGCACTGGTGGAGGAGCTGCAGGCAGAGAAGGCTGAGAGGCAGGCCGCTGTGTCCATGCTGCAGCACCAAATGCACCATGGCAGGTGCGTGCCCCGCGCGCGCCCATGCTCCACTGCCAGTTATTCTTCTTCCTACCGTCACCATAATCCTCTCAACACATGTTGCCTGCCAGCTTCCATGTAACTCTCTCTCTCTCTCTTGCTCTCCCCCCTTCCAGCACATTTTCCCTACCTCCTGTCACCTGCCTCCCCGAACACTCTGTGCCCACGCATCAGCTTCTGCCTTCCAACCACTGCCCCATCGCAATCCGGCCCTCTGCCCTGCATGTTCTCTCGTCACCATGTGTGCGCCCCTGTCTCCCCCGCTGCAGGCTGGTAGCGCAGCAGCACATGGAGGGGGGCAACGTGTCGTCGCCGTCCATCTCCTCGTTCACCGATGCCACGGCCGACTCGCCCTTTGACCCCACACACCGCCTCATGCAGGTCAGTGCCGTTTCCCACTGCCGCCACTGCCGCCATTACCGCCTTTGCTGCCTCTGCTGCCACTGCCGCCGCCGCTGCCACTGCCGCTGCCGCTGCCACTGCCGCTGCCACTGCCGCTGCCAATGCCGCTGCCACTGCCGCTGCCCCTGCCGCTGCTGCTGCCATGAATGCTCCCTCTGTTGCTCCTGCTGCTGCTTTCTACAGCTTCTGGGCGCATGGCAAAAGGGCGGTTTGAGCTGCATGAGCCCAGTGTAAGGTCTCTCCTCTGCCCCGCGCACAGCACATGCTCCGAGGGTCCTGTATGTCCCCTGTGGGTTCCATTGAACACCACGTTGGTGCCATAGTGAGTCCACGTGCTGTGGTCTGCTACAAAGATAAGATTCTCCTCGGCTTTACTCTCGCTCTGCCCTACCCTACCCTACACTTGCTCTGCACCCCCTCTTGCTGCCCCTTCCTTGCTGCCCCCCGTCTTCCTGCCCCTACCTTTGCTGCCGATCCCCGTGCTGACCTTTTGCCGCTGCTCCTACTCTTGTTCCCCCCTCTACTTGTGCGCTCACCCTTCCTGCCTCATGTGCCTGTCTCCCTGTTCACCACATCTGGTATCCGCAAGCGGCAGTCGGCAGGCACATCCACGTTCTACACAACATCGCCCCTCCTGCATCACAACCCCAACAACCCCAACTCGCCCTTCTTCCTCCACCCCTACACCCACTCCTCCATCCTCCCCTCCTCCGCCCTTGCCCACGACCCTCACATGAGGCCCTTCTTTCTCCCTGCATCCCCTGCTGCTGCCGACGCCTCCTCGCTCCTTCACCCGACAGGGGGGTCAACATCCCTCTCTGCTTCAGCTGCTGCCGCTGCTGCTGCTGCATCAGCAGGGAATGGCGCTGACATGGCACTGGCAGTGCCAGGTGGCATGGGGTCGTCAGCGCTGCTTGCCTCGCTGGCAGCTCAGAGGGAAGCCCAGGGTGGGGGTGCATCTGGATCGTCCATCTTGATTCACCAACAGCAGCAGCTACAGCTACAGCAGCAGCAGCAGCAGCAGCAGCAGCAGCAGCAGCAGCAGGGGAGGCAGCGAGCAGCATCACCCACATCTCGGATCCTCTTCCCAGATGCCTCCTCTCCTGCTTCTGCCTCCACTGCACCACCTCAAACCACCACCACAGGCCGTGGCGCCGTGCGTGGTACGGCCAGCCCTGGTGGCACTGGCACCGCACTGCACCGCACTGCAGGCGCCACTGGCTCGGGCAACAGCAGTGCACGGGGAGGTGCGGACTCCAGGGGACTTAGAGGCGCCACTGCATCCTCTGCTGCTGCTGCTGGGACGGGCAGCAGCAGGCGAAGCACAACACCAGGGAGAAGCACAGGCAGTGCGGGTGGGGGTGGTGGTGCAGGTGGTGCAGGGAACGGTGTGGGGCCTGGGCACGCTCGTAGGACCGCCTCCCAGCCCATGGCATCTTCATCGCATCTCCAATCGCAGCAGCAGAGAGCACGGCGGAATACAACACCGGAAGTAGCAGCAGGGGGGGGCACAAGCAGCAGCAGTGGCGCTGCAGCGGATCGCAGCCGCCTGTCACCGTCCCCGTCACCACGAGCATCGGCATCAGCATCAGGCTCGGCACCAGCCTCGGCACCAGGCTCGGCAGCAGCATCGGCATCAGCAGCGGTGCAAGGGCCTGGTGTGCGGCGGGACTTTTTCACATCAATGGATTCATTAGTGGAGCGCATGGAGCGAGACGAGGCCTCTGATACTGACAGCTCCTTCACCCGCACTCTCTCCGTCGCCTCCTCCTCCCTCCACACCGACCCCCACACTGCTGCTGCCGCTGCCGGTGCTGCGTATGCCAGGGCGAATGGAAGCGGCAGCAGTGGAGGGGCGATAAGCCCTGGTGCGACTAGGCTGGGTGGAGTGATGGAAGGTGTGGGAGGGTCAGGGTCGCTGGTGCCAGCTGCTGGCTGGGCCGGCCCGCCTGGCAGCAGGGCAAGGCCGATAGGGTCGGGAGGAATAGGCTCTGGGAGGGCGGCAGGGGTTGGCGGGGGTGTGGCAGCGGCAGGCGAGTGGTCGGGTGGGAGGGGTGGGGCGGGAGTGCGTGGGAATCGAGGTGGGGTTGGGGGTAATGCTGGTGTTCGAAGTGGTGGTGGTGGGTCTTTGGGTAAGTAAGTGAACGAACATGCGTGTGGGGATTTTGTGGGGGAGGCAGGACTGAACTGAATCACCATGTTGGCCTTGTTGAGTCTGCGTATTTACGGTTAGGTAGATTGGGAAGTGGTGTTTGAGTCGCTGATTTTGAACCTCACAAACTGGGGAGGGGAGGGGAACCATTCATCGGCATGTCATGTTTCTCTGTTACCGGTACGGTAGGTTGTCTAACTTGATGTAGGCTGCTAACTGCAATGAATTCTCATGTTCTAGGTAGTTGAAGGTGCGAGAGAGGATCTCTTCAACAGCGATTTCCTATCCAACTAGTTGCAGCCGGAGCCTACGTACAAATGGGAATGAAATGAGATGTGGAAGTGAATAACTACTGTCAAAAGATGAGCTAAATTAGGACCTTGGCCTGTAAATTGCCCTGGAAGGTGACTTTAGGTACAGACGGAGGCAGCTCAGGAGTGGTCTGAGGCCTACCTAACACTTCGGCAAAACTACCGTAGCTAGAGTGCTTTACAGCAAGAAGTCATCATTCCATGCCATTCACTGGAAATTTGTAAGGATTCCTTCTCAGATGTGTGGAAGTTGTGAGTGCGAATCTTGGATTTCCAGTAGTGCAATTTTCAGACGTTGACCTCAATTAGGGTGCTGGAGGTGGGGTAGCCATTCGTACTGCAGGGGGTATACGTTGTATGCCAGTGCTGAGGTAAAGGTACAATGGCTGAGATTTGAGCCTGTTATTGACAAACAGGGTTACAACTACGGGTAAGCTACCTGGGAAATTGAAGTCCACATGTCCGTACACTTCTACACCAGCCTTCAATAGGCAGGATTGGATTAATCAGGCTACGATGCAAGCATGCCACAAAAGTATAGCCAGTATAGGATGGTAAACATCCTTTTTATATTGCCAGAAAGGTGGATTGTGGGGTTCTAAGACGACGAGCCAGGAACATCATAGGTCTACTGAGACCTTTTCTTTGTGCTTGTCTGCTACGGCGACACCGTTAGATGACTCTTTGGTGAGTGCTGCAATCGTATTATCAGAAGCTCCTTGAGCTGGCCTGTCTTGAGCTTCTGAAGGCGAGGGACCATCAGCGTATCCCCAGGGGTTATTCCGAGCCCAATTCCATTGATCCCGGCACATGTCATCGATCGTGAACTGCCCACTGCAATGTCATTACATACGGACAATAACACGGGAGTCGCAAGAGGGTCTGTAAGGGGAAACGTCCATGAACGTTTGCACGGTGGAAAGGAGAAAACGACAGAGGGTTGAATACACGATTCACACAGGGTAGTATGCCGAAGTGAGAAAGAAACAAAAACAAGTGGGCAAGAGTTGTAGGAATTACCTCCAATCAAGTTCTCGAGCAGCCTTCACCGTGCAAGCATAAACCTCGCTCGCATCCCCGGGTCTCCGTTCCACAATCTTCACTGGAATTTTCTGTGAGAACAGCACTTTAACTATGTTAGACTCCTACATCCCAACCGGGTTGCGGGTATTTCAAACAAAACACGAAACCTACCTTGCCAGCCGCCTTCTCAAAAGCTGCCACCATCTCAAGAACAGAGCTCCCTTTGCCATTCCCAAGGTTGTAGATTGCACAACCTGAATCGAAATGAGGGTGGGCAAAGCAAAGGCACCAAAGAGAAATCTCTTAGTGCTATACAGATAACTCCATGAGCAGGTGAGCAGGCAAATGTAGGACATAAGGAAACGGGGAAGCAGGTTGAGGAAGTCCAAAAACGGGGAAATTGTGCAGAAATCCCCTTGCGTCAATCGGTCCAGTGGAAAAAAAAACTCCATATTAATGCAGAGCACGTCATTAAACTTGGAGATAGTGTGGGAGGGGAAGAAGAGAGAGAGAGAGAGTGAGTGAGAGAGAGAGAGAGAGAGAGAGAGAGAGAGAGAGAGGGTCCTAGCCTTTGCCCTTTGCCCTCTGCCCTCTGCCCACTACTCCCTTAGCTATATAAGGGCCTCTCGTGCCTCCTCCCATTCATTATTCTTCCCACCTATCACCGACTGAATAAGGACGGTTTGAAAGAGAGAGTGAGGGACCGTTTGAGAGTGAGTGAGAGAGGGAGTGAGTGTGTGTGTGTGTGTGTGAGAGTGAGAGAGAGAGAGAGAGAGAGAGAGAGAGAGAGAGAGAGAGAGAGAGAGAGAGAGAAGAGCAGGGACTGGTAGGGCGAAGACGTGAAGAGGGGTGGGGGCTGACAGAAGGGGGAGCAGGGGAGGAAAGGGGTTTTAGGGTGGTTGAACTAACCTTTGCTAAGTGGAAGCACGACGAAACCGATCGTTTTGATGCTTTGCTAGTTATCTTACTAACTTGAGGTTGCTGCCAGGTTCTCTGTCTGATTGCCCCCTATGCCGTTTGCATGGTTCTTTAAAAATATAACTTTGCATGCGTGTGATTGTGGGAAGGTGGTGAGTGGTACGGGAGAGGAAAGGAGGGAGGAGATACAGTGAAGGGAACGGATCATGCGTGGGGTACGGGGCAGTAGGTGGAAATGGGAGAGAGGAGAGAGGGGGTTTTACAGGGCGAGCAACGCACCCATATCCGCAGTGTGAAAGATCTTTTGAAGAGCAGCTGCGTGTCCCGTTGCGAGGTCCATTACATGAATGAAGTCTCGAACCTGCAATATGCATGGCGATAGCGTGAGACAGAAACCTAACAGATGGAGCTCGCGATTGGCTTCAAAAGCACCGTACCCCTGTTCCATCTCGCGTCTCGTAGTCGTTGCCAAAGACCATAAGATGCGGCCTTCTATCCACAGCGACTTGCTGAAGAAATGGCATTAGGTTGTTAGGAAGGCCTTTCGGGTCTTCGCCGATCCTACCACTAGGATGAGCACCAACAGGGTTAAAGTATCGCAAGATGACTATTCGCCATGCCGCATCTGCCTTTTGGACGTCCTTCAAAATCTCCTCAATGAATAACTGCACGGAAGTAACGCTTGTAAGATAAAGCACGTAAAAAAACCTAAAAGTTGTTCTCGAAGCAAGAACTCCTACCTTGGTTCTGGCATAAGGGTTGAGCGTTTGCAGGGTGTCATCCTCCATACAAGGAACACGATGTGGTTGACCATAAACAGTTGCAGACGACGAGAATACAATCTGCGTAAAGTGGAACCAGCAAAAGCTAAGAATCTCTAAAGGTCGACAATGACGAAGCAAAATGCTATCTGCGTTGGTGTCTGGGGATGTACCTTTTTGCAATCATGCTCTGCCATGACTTCGAGCAAGTTCAGTGTCCCAACCAAATTGTTGTGATAGTATTTCATGGGTAGACTAACACTCTCGCCAACGGCTTTAAGGCCCGCGAAATGAATGACTGCGTCGACACTGAGGAAAGAAAAGGGTAGAAGATCAGTTGTCGTCATGCATACGGATGCGCATTGTGAATCGAGAAAGCATGAGATACATACTGATGGCTGCGAAAGATGGATTCAACCGCTTCCTTGTCGAGGAGATCGAGCTGGAACAGCAACGCGCAGTTTGAGTGAGCAATATGAGTAAACGACTGGATTGAGATAGGCATCATTGAATGTACACACAAACCTTAAGGAACGTCAGATTGCTGCCTTTGTCCTTGGCCAGTTCAACAACTCTTCTCACTGCTTCTTCCGACGAGTTTGCCAAGTTGTCTACAACTATCACCCTGCGGAAACCCAGCAGCACCATGTCAGCACTAGCCCCCTCAAACACCAACAGTCCCTGACACTACAACAAACATACCTAAATCCTTCTTCTAACAGCTCGACACACGTATGACTGCCAATGTATCCAGCACCGCCCGTCACAAGAATGGCCTTCTGCACTGTGTCACTCTCAATCTCAAAAAGAGGCCCTCGTGAAGATCGGTGACTGGGGTCAGCTTGATCTCCCGCTGGCTTAGAAGACTGACTCGAAGGACTAGGCTGAAACATCTCTGTAAGGATCACTGGGTTTTGAACGGCCGCGGAGCTCGTCTAGTAAAGTTAACGAAACTCTAGGATCATGACCCTTCGAAGCGATGACAATAATGCATAGACGAAAGGGCACTAGGCCGTCATTATGTTAAGCTAACTAAACACGTTGCTAAGTAGAAACGCCAGGTACTTGGCAGATTACTTCCCGCAGTCGAGGCGTGAGGTCCGATCTAAAATCCGTGTTGCTCGGATCAGCAGAGAGAAGTGTGGAGCGATGAAAGCGGTGGATGGGAATGGGAAACCGGAATGAGGTGTGAGGGAGAGGCCGTCAGGAGAGGTCAACGGGTGGGAACAGTGTCGCGAAATGAGCGGAGTGGAGGGAGATGGGCAGGGTTACCATACCACCAGTCAGGTCCGTCCGCGAACGACCTCCCTCGCTCACACCTCCTGCACCGCACACACCTTGAAAGCTGGCAGTTTTGTGCGAGCGCAAACGGAATTTGTGGCTCTCCTTTTCATTCCATATTATTCGCAGCTAGCCTCGGACGGCATCCACACGGGGTTTGCGTTTCCCGCCACCAAACCAAACTAGGGAAATCTGACATGCCGAAACGAAAGCTTTGGCTTGACAATTCCCCCAAAACCTGGTTCGCATGATTCGGGCTATTGGCCACCGCGATGTTGTCATATTTATCTACAGAGAGAGCTGAGGAACTACAGAGTAATGTTTGTTATGAAGAGAATCATAATTCAATCAGTGCCGTTTCACCAAGCCTGAACGGTCAAACCCGTTGACTCGGGAACACTGAGGAATTTGTAGCCCCTGAATGCTGGACGTTGTGCATTAAGAGCTTTTTTTTGTTTCTTAGAATATGTACCTTGTGCTGCATATGAATCTGTCAATATATACTCGTTGACTGGCCTAATGGTCGTTTTTCTTAGAGGCTGGACTAGTAGGGCCTCATATTGGATCAAAGGCATACTGATGGTGTTACGAATAGTGGTTAGTGAAAACACTATTGAGCACTCCTCACAGCCGAAGCACGCACTATCGAGAGCGAAGACGAAAAGGCAGAAGAAATGCGAAGGGACAGGCGGTTACAAGGAGCATCTGGACCGTCGGGCAGACAGCATCAGGCAGCAGCAGTGGCGAGGATTCTGCCCGAACAGTTCCGTAACCACCCGGAGTCGCACGGTTGGATTTTCGCTGTAATAAGGGAATGTACCCCTTAGAGTACGTGGCTAGCTAGGTCCAGGGCCCAAGATATCAGGGTAAAATACCCTTTTTGCCCTTTCTGTAGGCCGCTTTTTTCTTGTTACCCTGATCTGGGCCGGCTATGATTTGTGTTACCCTTTCTCCCAAAAAATGGTTTTTTGGTTACCCTTACAAATTCAGCGTAGGCGTTTCGTTTCCCTGTGTAGAAAGGGTGGGCCCTGAGTTACCCTGAAACCGAGACTCCCTTAGCGAGGATTCGCCCAGATGCACTGCACTGCACCCCTCACGTAACGCCCTGTCGCCCTGCTCTGCTCTGCTGTGTTCCCAACGTGCGGTGAAAAAATCTGCACCACAAGCAGGAAAAAAAATTCCCCCGCTGCGCGGAGACCCACCATTGGACCGACTGGCAACATATCTACCACCAAGGCAGATATGTTTGCCAGCGTTACTTGGCAGCGCGCCGAAGTTGCTGAAGGTGCGCAGCCACACAAGGAACTGCCAACACCACATTGCATCTTCACGTGCTGCACGGATCTGATCCATGCATGCATGGGCGCGTCGTGGGTGGGTGGTTGTGAATGGAAGGGGTCCTTTCCTTTCTTGCTCGCCCCGTTCTTTCTTCACCAGGCGTTTCATTGTTCCACCCCCAAGCCTACCTCTCCCGCTTACCAGTCATGCCAGCCGAGCAAGATCCCGCGGATCCACCAGAACCTCGCCGAAACGGCCTCTCCGTGCTTGGCGTTCTTCCGCCACTATCGCAAAATTACAGTACGCCCGTCGAGCAAGTGCCACGTGCTCCCTCTCCCGTGCGACACGGTTGTACCGTGTACCCGTTTGAGCCTCCTAACTCACCCTCTGCATTCGAGCCTCAGCCCTCCATTGTTCTTGTTCCAGGCGGTGGTGAGGGATCTTCCAGAGGTGTCACAGAGACTCCGTCAACCGCGCAGAGTGCGCCCGGGAAACGTCAACGCGTGGGTGTAAAATACATCCAGCAGCGTCTATGGGGCGCGCCGCCACCACGCACATCTGCATCTCCTCCCAAAACGGCGGAGCGTGAGGAGGAAGCAGATGAGAAGACGGCAGAAGAGGCATCGTTTGATGTCATCAAGCACAGATTCGACACCGAATGGTCCGGGAAGTTTTCGTGGTTGCGTCTCGTGCGCAAAAAGAACGGGCGGCCGGGGCTTAAATGCGACATCTGCATCAAGTATGGTGACCCTGCTGCGCACACCAGCTACGGCGTGAGGGGTGAGGGCGCACGAGATCTGCAGATCGGTAGCATCCGGACCCACATTTCGACCCGAGCTCACAAGCAAGCCCTGAAAGAGCAAGAAAGCGCGGAGGCGGACAAGCAGAGGCAGGCCACGTTGACGCGGTGGCAGACGACAGACAACGCCACACGCCATGTCATCCGCATACTCCACATCGCCTTATTTATTTGTAAGGCTGACGCCCCTATTGCTATGTTTGTGCCGCTGCGTTGGTTATTGGCGAAGGAGGGTCTTCCGGACCTGTCTCGGGAAGGCGGATATGGAGCCTACTACACATAGTGAGTTTGTTATTCTGTAAATCAATGTTTTGCTAGCATGCCACTGGATGTCGTACTAATGTTTGCTGTTTCGCTTTCCCTGTGCAGTTATGGTTTCAAAGAGAATTTGCGGGCTATCTCCACATACCTACAAGAATCACAGCGGGCGCACCTCCTTGATTCTCCTTGGATCGGTCTCGCGATCGACGAGAGCACGGACAGAATTCACGGGAAGCATTTAATTGTCTACGCCACCTTCTTCAAGGCCAGGGAGGTGGTAACCGAGTTCATCACGCTGCTCACGGTTGACCGTTGTGACGCTGCATCGCTGACGTCTGTTCTCGTGCAATATCTGACGCAAATTGGACTTGATTTGCAGAAAATCAGTGCCATCTCAACGGACGGGGCCAGTGTCATGGCAGGCCAGAACTCTGGCGTCTCGACCCGTCTGAGATCACGGATTCCACATCTTGTTTCAACTCACTGCATCGCCCATCGGTAGGTTGCATTGCATGGTAAATTGAACACCGCGGTGTGCTTAATCGTTGTGCTCATCTGACTAACGTCATTGGTTACCTTGTGGCAGGGAGGCGCTTGCCGCCAAGGACGCAGCTGAAGCGGTCCCAGAGTTGAGCATGGTGGACGAGGTGGTCCGCGCATTCTCTAACATTCTCGGGCGAAGTGGTGTCAAGTACTAGAAGTTCCAGAATCTGCAGCAGGTGTTTTGCAAGACTAACCTTGAGGCGCAAGGTATTTTCGATGCGCGCTGGCTGTCACGTGGGGAGGCACTGGAGCGCCTGCTGGACGTGTTACCTGCTGCTATAGTCTTGCTGAAGGAGTACCGCCAGGATTTGTACGAGGTGGTCACCTCGTTCAAATTCCACTGGCTCCTTCGGTTTTTGGTGGATGTGCTGTCGGAGCTCAACACGCTCAACTTGCGGTTCCAGCAGAGGAAGGTATGATGTGATGTCTATCGTTGCAATTTGTTGACATGTAGTAGTTCTCCCCTGCTGACACAGCATGTTGTGCATTTACAGATCGACATCACACTGGTGGGCCGTCTCGTCGAGCAGACGCGGATGCGACTGAAGGCACGCTACAACAGCAGTCAACAGGGCCACCAGTTCGGGAGCGGGGAGAGGATGCGCCTTTCAGAGTTCATCAAGAAGCTGTGAATCAAGAAAACAGGAATGAAATGACTAAGTGAAAGTTGGGTACAAAAGGCAAACCCTAGGAAACTGTACCCCATATGTGCTACTCCACTATAGCCTACAGTAGCTATGCCAAATAACTCTGACACACCCCCATAGGCAAAGTGGGGGAGAACAAGGGGTCACAAGACCAGTCAAGCAAAGCAAAGCAAGCTCAGGGTGGATCACAAAGTCACCACACATTCCGAGCACAAGTTCAAGGCCACAAGGCCAGTTAACATGCAGGATTACATATATATATAAGGCTAAACAAGCAAGAGCAGGAGTATATATATATGCAACAGTACAAACAAGGTCAAGAGGTGAGCAAGTGAGGCAAGGTAGGCACAAGACCCAGCTGAGTACAGAAGCGCTGATGATCACAAGGCGCAAGTGCCTTGGTGAAGATATCAGCAGTGTTGGCCTCAGAGGCCACGTACGCAAGTCGCAGCTGACCACGCTGCTGTAGCTCACGAGCAAGGAAGTAGCGAAGAGCAATGTGCTTCGTTCTGTGCTCCAGTCTCTGCTCTCGACACAAGGCCAGCATGGCCTTGTTGTCTACGTAGAGCACTGGAGGAGAACGAGGCGGCTCTCCGAGGTCAGTCAGCAGGTAGGTGAGCCAGCGAAGCTCCTGTGCAGCCATGGCCCCGGCGTAGATCTCATCCTCGCAACTGGAGCCGAGAACAGAAGACGAGCGAGTAGCCCGCCACGAAACAGAGCCGGAACCAAGGCTGAAGGTGTAACCCTGTGACGACCGCTGCGTAGCCTGGTCGTCAGCCCAAGAAGCGTCTGCGTGTCCAGTGAGGACCACTGGAC